TTCTTTAAATGTGCTACGTATGTAACAAAGTTTCCTGAATAACAGAGGTTTAAAAAAAATTATTAGAGCCTATATTTTTTTTAAATTCCCAACTTCTTTTGTCTTTTTAATATCAGAAGAAGAAAAAATTGTCTATTTACATGGATTTTTTTTTAAATAATATTTTTTTCTAGTTGAGAATCTATCAGAAAGCTAAACAAAGAAGATTTTGTGAACTAGCATTTCGATTATCATGCCAATTCTATCTTTGTTTTACTTGTTTTAGTTAAAAATACGTATTCCTAATTTGTCACAGATGTGACAGATTTTGCAAATCCGTTCGAGCAGCGATGACTGGACTGAGGGACAATAAAGATCAAATCGAAAAAAATGCTTTTGTGAATCGAAGTAGCATATCAAATCTGAAAGACTGATTGAAAAAAAAAAAAAATGGAAATCTGTGCAAGTCATTCCCAGAAGCATCTGGTGCCTCCATTAGTTTCAAAGACTGGAATTGGTGGGGAAATTGTTTTATTTTGTAAAATATGCGGCATGAATCAGATGAGTAGTCAGATTGTATTTGCTTTTCCCCAATCTCAGACTTAAAGCAATTCATACGGCAGCTTTCTTTGTGACTGCACGATGTTATTATTGTTGTGTTACTCACTTTACCTTTCCCATAATTCTCAAAATCTCATATTTCTACTCTATCAATACCATTTATCTTGACTTCACTTACCACTTTAACCTTGTTCCATAACTGCTACATGACCGCAAACATACCACCCTAATCATTTGCGACAAACAGAATTTCAGGTAAAGAGAGGCCAACTTTTGACTTCTTTGCACTAAAAAAGTGAGCTAAAATTCTGACAAACCATCTGGAGTGCACGGAGACACACATTAAATAAATATTATATTGTTAAAAACCTAAAAATTAAATGACTATTTACACTCATTATTTTTTTTTAAAAATAATAACAAGTCAATTTTTAAAATCAAAATTTTAATAGAGAAAACATGATTGTTGACGTCAATTAACGTAACCCCCCCCCCCAACTGCTCCTTGTCAACAATCGTCAAACATTTCTACACCCCTCCCCTATTGATTTTGTTGACATAATTAATGGAATCCCCCCCCTCCCTTTGACAGTCACATTTTTTTAAACTTATTATTATTTTTACATACCATACGCTATTAAAAATGGTTCATAATGATGGAAAAAAAAACATAAAAATAAAATTGATTTAAAATTTAGGATGAACAGATGTTTTTCCACAATTTCTCGTACCACTTCGGGGACTTATGCTCAGTTCACGCGATCAAATTGTTTTCAAATTTTTGTTTACTGTATAGTGCGTTCAAAGGGAAATTTGGCGAAAATTTGATCTTGAACATTAGCAATCTTTACCTCCCAAAAAACATAAAAAATTTGATAATCTTCTGTTCGATCAAATTTCCGTTCAACCATACTTCCGTCGACGAAATTTCTTTCAAACAAATTTCCGGATACGGTTCATCTGTGGTTTTGTTCCTGGACACACCCATTTGACCTTGAATTAGTCGTTTAGGGCCAATTTGTCATATCTCATACAGCAAACACAAACCCCCTGACATATCTCACACAGCAAACACAAACCATATGACATATCTCATACAGCAAACACAAACCCCCTGACATATCTCACACAGCAAACACAAACCATATGACATATCTCACACAGCAAACACAAACCATATGACATATCTCATACAGCAAACACAAACCATATGACATATCTCACACAGCAAACACAAAACCCCTGACATATCTCAAACAGTAGGTGACAAAGGGAGGGAATTATAATATAAATCAAAACACCATTACCAGGGTGTGCCACACATATTATGTATGTGGCAAGGTGTCACTTAATAGTACTAAGGTAATTCACGCTCTGTTTGAAACCTAAGGCTACGTACGCTTTAACACACGTACACACCCACTGAAATTTTTAGTGTAATCTAAAAATCAGCCCAGCGCTGTGTACTCGGGAACGATCGAGGCACGTCTCACCCATGCTTGGCGATTGATCATCCGGTGACACGCAGAGCTTGGTCCAGACTATGACGCACTTGCCATCCGATACGTCAGCAAGGGTTTATCTCCTGGGATCCCCCAAGATTTTTTAGTACCGGTAAACTAAAGACTTAACGGGAAATTGTCCACACCTTTTTAGAATACATTTTTCTTCTTAAATTTCAGTAATGATAGCAAGTGACAGATTGTCACAAATAGTCGCAATAATCCGAGGCGGCACCGAATTCAGCAGCTTCTGGGAAACCGGTTCTGGTGCGTTTTCAAGTCAAGGTCACATTCATATTGAAAAGCAAAGTGACCCTTACCACCAATCTCTTTTAAATAGGGTAAATTCTTGGAAAGGTAAACATTTTAAAATCCAATTTTCCAGTACCTGTATAATGTAATTGGTGACATATGTTAATGTCAGTTAATTGATGACATTTGAATGTCATGTAATTGGTGACATATTTGAATGTCATGTAATTGAAGACATTTTAATTTCATGTAAATGGTAACAAATTTAATGTAATGTAGTTGAAAATAATATTTTAATGTCATAGAATTGGCGACACATTTGAATGTCGTTTTGAAAAATATGTTTATGTGTTTGTTATACGGTAGATTGAGTAACCAATTAAATCTAGAGTTATCCCACTTTTTTCAATTGAATGATTCTAATACTGTAGATACAGTACTGGTAACCTTTCAAACATTTGGTTGACCAGAGTTATCTAACCTGTTTAATTTATCGTTATGCATGCTCAAAGGTCTATCAGTTTAAGTAAGTTGCACTATAAATGTATCTTTTATTTAAGATATTGACCTTTTTCTTTCGGTTTTCCTTGTCTTCTTACCAAACATTAAGACCCAATAAAGATTGAGGTCTCAAGACCGAATTTCTTTGGATTTGGTAACAAAATTGAAAAGTGTATTATCAGTGCCCAACCACTAATCCACTCGGCTACATGCAATTTACATATCATTATTGTCTACAAAATATTGATGAATGATCAACTTCCATATCATTCATGTGTCAATATGACTGAATAAAGACATCAGATCCAATACGACTGACTGGAGACATCAGATCCAAGACAATTGAATGGAGACATCAGATCCAATATGACTGAATACCAGCATCAAATCCAATACTCAATACGGCTGAATACCAGCATCAGATCCAATACGACTGAAAACCAGCATCAGATCCAATACAACTGAATACCAGCATCAGATCCAATACAACTGAATACCAGCATCAGATCCAATACGACTGAATACCAGCATCAGAACAGGAGTCCAATTTAAAAATTCATTAATTCAATTTAATATGGTATTAAAATAAATCCCATCTGAATCTGGAGTCCATGAAGTATTGAGCTACACAGAAGTGGAGACAATGTACTTAATAGAACTACTCATCTCATAGACCCATCATGCGAATTTAACTTTGTAGTCACATGCAAACAATTTAGTCAATCAGTGTCACAATAGATGTTTTGTTAGAATAATAATAATAATAATAATAATATATTTCATAAAAAAAACAAGCTTCATTCCTAATTAATGCTCAAGGCGGGGTACAAAGTCTACCATATATGACAATTTATATTTTTCCACATTGAAATACAAAACACAACAATACAAAATCAACACACAAGCCAATGGAAATACAAGCCAATTTACATCGAGGAATATGAGCAAGCTGGAAACAAGGAGGTAGACTACATCACCCCAGCAGGTGAGTGCGAAAAAGATAAGTTAAGTTTTCAACTCAGTTTTGAAAGACTGCAGCGTCTGGGTGTTTCTGAGAGTGACAGGAAGGCGTTCCAGATTCTCGGTCCAGAAAAAGCGTCTTCCGAAGGTCTGGAAGTGCTAGCAAGGCAGAAAATTTTAGTAATAAAAAGTCAATTCCTTTTACATAGGTATAATTATTATACATATGACAGGAGGGGATAGATCATTTAATTGACATAAGGAGGGTTAACTTAACTATGTCCTCATTTAGTCAGTGGGCTACAGGTTGGCTATGATAAACATGTATTGGGCATGTATATTCATATTTTTCAACATTTTTACAATTTTCATCCGTCCTATTGAAACGTTTTGCACATAAAATGAATAACATGGATATGTGCTAAAAATTGTATGGTTCTTAAAATTAGCTCATTCCTGGTGTGTATATTTCACTTTAATTGATAAAAATCAAAGCTAAACAATAAGCAGCTACAAAAAACAGTAAATAAAAATAATTTTTCCAAATTTAAAAAAAAAATACTCCTACATTCAATTTAAATGATCTCTATGCCACCTTGCTGCTGGTCATAGTTGTAGTGGATGTAGTAGGAAAGTCTATTAAGAAATTCACAGACTCTTAATTGAGTCAAAAAAGATCGATCAGAAAAGGAGAAGAAAAAAAAAAGGGGGGAGGGGGGGGGGCAGCTTAAGACTGTGAAAGAAGTGAAAAAAAATAATAGCAGATAAGCAAATAATTTTAAAAAAACGATATAGTTACAATGCACTCTTAATTGAGTCAAAAAAGATCGATCAGAAAAGGAGAAGAAAAAAAAAAGGGGGGAGGGGGGGGGGCAGCTTAAGACTGTGACAGAAGTGACAAAAAATAATAGCAGTTAAGCATATAATTTTAAAATAACGATATAGTTACAATGCGTGTTGATCAGTTAAACAGAATGGTAAGGCAAGAACAGACACGACTAAAAAGAAATTTGAAAGATTTAATGATACAAATAACTAGTAAATAAAAATATTAATTTTAAGTGGATTAACTAAGTCTTGTCTAGTTCTTCATTCCTGATTATTTTTTTGCTAAGACTAAGACTTCAGTTGGGTGTGTTGGTGGGCTTTCAGAAACGTCTTTGTTATGGTTGAAAGAATTAGCTGTGGGTTGGCTAGTCACGTGCACTGAGTCCCCATTCATTAAATCTAGTCACATTTGAATGGTCAGTTCGTGTCAAGTTTGTGTTTATTCCGCATGTGCCGTTTCATATCATAACTTCTGAAGCACGTAAAGTCACACAACTGACAAGACATGGGGTCCGTACTCTTGTGCTTAAGCATGTGACGCCGCAGGCTATAGCTATGTTTGAAGGTCACAGAGCAGACTTCACATTCCAGAAGCTTCATTTCCTGATGCCTGGACACATGAGTCTTGAGCTGATCTTTGGTCCTGCACTGAAACGTACAGTGTGGACACTGCCACGGCCGATGCTCAGAGTGGGTGATCATGTGGCGCTTCAAGGCTGAATTGTACTTGAATGATGTTCCACACACGGTGCACAGAAATGTTTTGGCTTCTTGACTTTCTTTCTCTTTCTCCTTTGCTGCATCGTCCACAGCGTCCCTGTGCTTCTTCATGTGCTTCTTCAGTTCACTGTGGCGTCTGCAATTAAACGGACATTCTGGGCACTGGATGCTCTTCTCTGTTGTATGTTTAAACATATGTTCCCGTAGTTTGGAGCTAGAGTTGAAAGCCTTGCCACAAACAGAGCAAAGAAAAGGCTTGAGGTTGGAGTGGGTCATCATGTGCTCGTTCAGATGATATTTGGTCCTGCCGGCGTAGTCACACATGGGGCACTTGTGCGCCTTGAAATCAGTGTGCGTCAGAAGGTGGCGGTTCAGGTCCCCCACTTCGTAACAGGTGTAGCTGCAGAGCTTACAGCTGAAAGGTTTCACGCCAGAATGGCGCTTGCTGTGTCTGCGCAAATTGTCTTCAGTTTTAGTCGCGTAGCTGCAGTGCTCACATTTAAAGGAGCGTTCTTCTGAATGGCCAAACATGTGTCGCTTCAGATGGTAAGCTTTCTTGCATGTGTATGAACACAAAGAACATTTGAACAGCTTGGCTCCCCTCTCATCCCTGTGGTATTTAAATGTGTTCTCGGCAAACACGGCTGTGATGGCAGATTTGACCCGACTCAGTCCCCCCGCCCCATCTGTGGCACTAACTTTCACGACCACAGCAGCTTCATTCGTGTATTCACCATCTTTGATAGCATGCTTGAGATTGTCTTCTTTAACTTTAATGAGATCAACTCCTTCAGCTGCATTTATCTCATCACTGCCAAAAAAGACTTTTGTTTCTATATCTACGCCTTTGATGGTTGCTGCCTTACCTCCTAGAATCACATTTTTGACATCCTCCTCTTCCGTGTTGTTTTTGGCATCACCCTTTTCAATACCAGCATCGCAGTCACCTGTAACATCATCTGTTACGATGATATTTTTCACATCAGTTGCTTCAACAAGAGGTTCTGAAACCTGTACCGTGGCTGAGCACATCTCGGGGCCGCAGGTTGCTTTAGGGCTGGCACTCCTCTTACACTGGCCAAGCACCAGATGCCTCTTTAAGTAATAGTTGGTCCTGAAGGCATGCTGGCATACCTGGCATGTAAAGGGTTTGCTGTTCCTGTGAATCATCATGTGCTCACGGAGACGGGTGAGCCGCCGACACCTGTAGTCGCATTCCGTGCACTCGAACGGTTTCACGCCGGTGTGTATCAGTTCGTGAGCTCTCAAATCTTTGGCTAGCCAGCAGGTGAAAGGGCAAACGTCACACGAGTATGGCCTCTGATCCGAGTGCTCTGTCTGGAGGTGTTTTCTCATCAACTGCGATGTCCGGCCCTTGAAATCACAGTGCGGACAACGGTAAAATTTTCTTTTGCCACGTCTTGCCTTATGGCCATTGAGTTTACGCCGACCCTGGACACCAAACTTACAAACATTAACAAGGAATGAGGTCGTATCTCTATGAATGCCTTGGTGGTCCTCCAAGGCTTTTTTTTGGTCACAGGCGAATGAACAATGTGTGCAAAAGTAAAGTTTGACTCTCAGATGAGTGAGGTTGTGTCTCTTAAGGTCACGTTGAGTCTTACAGGAAAAGTCACATTTTTCGCAAGCGAATGGCCAACACTGAGCCCCATCCTCGGAATGAGTGACCATGTGTTCCTTTAATTGAACGGATGTCCAGCATGAGAACTCGCAGTAAGGACAAGACTCAAACTTCAGGTCTGTGTGGGACTTCATGTGACGCTTCAAGTAGGCAAGAGACTGACAAGAAAACTTGCAGTGCTTACACTGGAAATGTTTCTTGTCCAGGAAAAAATTGTCCTCCCCTTGCTCAGTGTCCTCAGACAATTCTGTTTTCATCAGTTCATCAGGTAGTCTCCCCTCAGGCGATACATTTTCCCCCGGACTTACTTCACAATTGGGGAAATTTTCTTCGATCACTTCCTCTTTGTAATCCATCAGCTCCAAGGCACTTACGGACAGGTGGTTTATGGCTGCATCATTTGCCTCCTCTAAATGAACAGGCTCCTGGGCCTTCTTGCACCTGGCTGATTGTCTTGCTTCACAGCATCTATCTCCCTTCATGTTTGTGAGTTGTGCAACACTAGACCAGTCGTAATCTGGTTTGTGGGCGATAGAGTTTTCTGCGCGTCCTTTTCTTTGCCCCTCTTTTAAAAGCTTCTGTGACTTGGTTTGGGAAGAGTGTTTGGAATTGGAGCCAAGTTTTGATCGGTCAGAACTTTTTTTCTGTTTTAAGCAATTTTTGTGCACTTCAGAAGGGCTGAGATTTGTGTCAATAGAGGGCAGCAGGTGATCATCCTCTGAATCATTCATGTGTGATATTGTATGTTGGATCAAAGCTGTCTTGGAACAACATGTCAAGCCACACAACGAACATATGAATCCATTAACTTCCATGTGGCTAGCGAGGTGACCGTTGAACTCAGACTGTTCACTACATGTAAATTCGCAGTAATGACAGTCGTAGGCCACCAAGTCCAAGTCTGTGTGGATTAAAAGGTGGCGCCGTAAGTCTGTCAACGACCAACAGGAAATGGAGCACTGCGTGCAGTAGAAAGCCTGCTGTTCTTTCAGGCCGCTGGGAGGTGGTGTTTTGTTTTCACTTTTGACAATGTTTTCTGAACACTGCATGACAACGTCAGCCGTCATGTCAGGGCTCAGTTGAGTCATCTCTGCGGGGCAGGTGACATCAGGACACGATATATTTGTATGATTCATCATATGCTGCTGTAACGTCGTTATCTGATCGTAGCTCTGGCCGCATACCAAGCACACAAAAGGTTTGTACGGCACGGGGATGTCCTCCTGCTTAAGTGGCTGACCACTGGTCAAACCGTCTTCCCTTAAAGTCAGCTCGTTCTCTCCGGGTGCAATCAAGTGTTTTTCAAGCTGTGAGAAGTATTGAGTATCCAATTGCAAGCCACATTCCATTTGAGGTCGTATCTCTGTATCATGGCTTTGCTCGCAGGCATCCAACAGTTGGTCACTCTCACATTTATATTCACTTGTGGCCAGCTTTTGGTCACTTACACATATATATTCACTTCTGTCCAACTGTTGGTCACTTTCACATTTATATTCACTTGTGTCCAGCTGTTGGTCACTTGTGTCACTTACACATACATAGTTGCCTTTATCCAAATTCGAATCACAATAATCATCTTCATCACCTGCTTGCATTTTTAATTTCTTACTCTCACAAAGTTAACCTTATTTCCTCAAGGTATCCAAAAAGAGACACACAGAATGGGTGGATTTGCATGAAATTCAAATGGTCTACAGCTTCAGCATTTGTCCATTTCACCACGATGTCCCAAAGTGTTGTAATTTAATCAAGGAAACTTCAAGTATTTCTAGTATCTGTGCCCTGTGAACATTTAAAAATCCTCACGCACAGTGACAGTGTCATGTCATTTAAATTGTCACTTCATTTTGAAAATTATAATCAGTTGTTTATTTAGGATATTTATTGTTCTTTGATAAATTATCATCCATGTAATTGATCTGTGAAAATTTTGTATCCATGTCCACTGTTCTTTAAAACTTCTCATCTAGTGATTGTGCACTGTTCTTCAAAACTTCTCATCTAGTGATTGTGCACTGTTCTTTTGACTTTTCATCTGGTGATTGTGCACTGTTCTTTTGACTTCTCATCAGGTGATTGTGCACTGTTCTTTTGACTTTTCATCTGGTGATTGTGCACTGTTCTTTTGACTTCTTATCTGGTGATTGTGCACTGTTCTTTTGACTTCTTATCTGGTGATTGTGCACTGTTCTTTTGACTTCTTATCTGGTGATTGTGCACTGTTCTTTTGACTTCTTATCTGGTGATAGTGCACTGTTCTTTTGACTTCTTATCTGGTGATTGTGCACTGTTCTTTTGACTTCTTATCTGGTGATAGTGCACTGTTCTTTTGACTTCTTATCTGGTGATTGTGCACTGTTCTTTTGACTTCTTATCTGGTGATTGTGCAATGCTGTCTGTAAACTCCTTGATACAAATAAATAGAAAAAAGACAAGTTGAAGGAACAGTCCACACAAACAAGTGTTTCTTATGTTATCATTAATATTCAATGACAGGGTTTGAGCGTTCAATTTTGAAATCTAGAACTTTCTGGGTTTTTATTAATTGAATGCAGACAACATTCAAAGTTTCATATATATATATTAAAATCAGATTAAAGCAAAAATTTTGCAGTCCAGTAACCTTTCCTAACAAACCAGAAATAAATTAAGGTAAATGTCTAGTTTAGCATGCAAAAAATATAACAAAAGCACCAGATGAACAAAAGGCACAACTTTGTATTTGTTATAGCCTAGTTCAAGCACAGAATGAAACTCTATTAATGTTTCAACTTTGTCTACTGTTTCAAATGTGATGCAATGTTTAAACTGGATAACTTTCAGAAATCCTAACCAGGAATGTTCCTAGAACATTTCCATGATGGACTGAGTTTCTGAAAACAAGTTCGTGTAGGTGTGAAGGGAACAGTGCATGACTGGTCCAGAATTGTCTCTTAAGTTTTCTCTTTCCTCTCATCCACATGTTCTCGACACAGTATGTTTGAACATCACTAATATTAAAAACAATAAAATTAGCCAGATAGACCACCATGGAATGAGAGTATATGCCATGACCGATATTCTGAATTTTGGCGTAAGCAAACAAGTTGTCAGACACTTTGTGAGTTCCAGGCAATATATCTGCATCTATTTTAGCTGTCAACATAGCCGCATTGCCATTCCTGACTTCTCTCAGAAAGCATTTTCTTGAGATTCTCTCGATCCCATCAAACACCCAAAGTTCATCATGACACCACGCTCTGTGGTATTTGTGGTGGAAGTACTTAGAATCATGAATTTCTACAACTGTCGGTTGCCCAGCAGCGCCCATTATGCCAATTTAACCTGAATGTTTTAAAATCTACGCCTGGCACAAGTTTAAATAAATTTTTAAAAAGTATGATCTGTCGTTTGGGCATTTTTGTAATATCGATCTAAGGTTTTGACTGTTTGACGACAAATGCCCTTACCTCTTCTAAAATATTACAAAAATAATTGGGGATGCTAAGTTAGACATTTACCTAAATTAACTTCCTGTATCTTCTAAATTGTTTTTTTAAATATATATTAAAATAAGATATTGTAAATTAATCTTGTGCGGAGATGCTGATTTTCATCGAGCGCCTCTCCAGGTGTCGAACAGGGGAAAAACCTACCAGATATGGGGGGTAAGAAAAAAAATAAAATACCTCAGGTGGACGAAAATCAGAACCTACTGCCTTGTAGGAAGAGGAGAGATTCATAAAGTCTAGGGACTGTTACATGGAAAAAAGTTAGCTACCTAAAGAGCTGTAAGGGTCAGCGTCCCCCCCCCTTTCCACCAGATGGTTGTATGCTAGACTAACATCCCGGTCATGTTACTAATGGAAATCGGCCTGCCCTGGATATGGACATGATTTCTGGATTAAGACTTGGAATATACTAAGCCTGTTTAGAGCATGGGCCTTGGCCAACAAAAAAGAACAACTAAAATAATATATAATCTCTATTGCTGAATTCAAGAAATGCAATGGAAAAATGCAGATATCCTCAGCATTAAAGACTACACCATATTTTACAGTGACAACACCAAAAATCTTGGGACAGGATTTGCTGTCAAGAAAGAAGCAGTCAGTGCAGTCATAGGTTTTAACCCAGGGAATGAAAGTTTGTGCTCTTTGGGTGTGCAAGGGAAATGTTCAATTCAACATTACATTTATAAATGTTCATGGTCCCACTAAAGATACAGAAGGTCAGGTAAAAATAATCATTTAATGAGATGCTAGAAAAGATCTATAAAAAGGCACCATAACAAGATATTAAACACAGTGATTGGTGACTTAATGCAAAAATAGAGAAAGAAAAAGTGTTTATGCTAACTATTGGCTAGGAGTCCAATAACAATGGGATCCGAGTCATAAACTTTGCTTCAGGAAAAGGGATAACAGATAACAGCACCAAGTCTCCACACAAAAATATACATAAAGTTACTCACCAAATGGAATCACTCATAACCAAATTGACCATGTTCTAATCGATCGCAGGCATGGATCAGACATACTAGACATAAGAAACTATGGAGGAGCAGATGCAGACTCTGACCAACTACTTGTAAGGGTTAATATAAGCAGAGAATAAGCATTATTCACATTGACTGAATTCAAAGAGAAAAATTATATGATTAACAAATACAAACCAAAGATCCACTAATCACAAAAGCTTACCAAATGAAGTAGGAGCACAACTAGAAGAATCATGGGGAGGAAATAAACAGGCAAAATAACATAAATGAACGGTGGGATAGGTTAGAAAATGCTATGAAAAGATCAGCAGAGAAAGTAGTAAGATTTCAGAAAACTAACACTTAACAGTAGAGCAGGGTGGTTTAATAATGAATGCAGAGAGAATGTGGAAGAAAAGAACAAGGCACAAATGACCATGATACAAAGGGAAACCAGAAATGAAAGATGGAAAGCCATGAAAATATGCAGGAAGAAAAAAAGGGAATGAGAAAAAAGTAAACTAAAGGAAATAAAAGACTTTTCAAGTGAGGAAAATATTAGAGAAATTTATATAAAGAGAAATAATGAAAAGAATGGATACCAAGCCAGACCTCATATGTGTGATAGGAAAGATAAAGGATTAATTACAAAAAATAGAGAAGTACTGGAGAGGTGAGCTGAATGTTTTTAGGGATATTAAAACTAAATTCAGACAATGAACGAGATGAAGATTATCGACCACCACACAGAGGACCAGACCCTTTAATAATCTCCCAAACTTTGGAAGAAACTACAGAAGTAATCAACTCTATGAAAAACCACAAAGCCCCTGGAAAATACCTCATTACAGCAGAAGTTATTAAGTATGGAGGAGGAGAGATGCACACTGAGACAAATAAACTTAAAACTAAACTCTGTAAAGAAAAAAACATAAATCAGATTGAATAGGCACTCTCTACAACCAACTCCAGCCTTCAGTATCTTGCATATATGGCAGCGACACAGCACTGTTAGAGGAAAGTAGTAAAGACTTATCAAAAGCTTTTATTGAATTACAAGACACATCACTACAATACAACAAGCAGGGCTGAAGGTTAACAAACAAAAAATAAAATACAGTCTAAAGGGACCACGTCCCTTTATTATTTATTAGACTGTTATTCGGACCCAGGACCTTTTAGACTAAATGCTAATCAGATGTGAGGTCATTTGTAGTAGTTTATTTTAGTTGAACTGAAGAAGTAAGTTTACAAACATATATTGACAATAGAACCCTCTCAATCCCAAGAACCAAAACTAAAACCATCGGTGAACGCTCCTTCTACTTCCATGGGCCCATGTTCTGGAACCAGCTCCCCTTCCATATCCGTCATTGTGAAACTTCGTCCACTTTCAAAAAGTCCCTTAAAACCCATCTGTTTAGGTCCGCCTATGACCTGTGATGCACCCTCCTTGCCCTGCCTCATTTTCTGTCTCGGGTTGATCCTGTAGTATACGCCAAAACGTGCCAAAGTGTCTTCGTTTTATAGCCATTTTAATTGTTTCTATAGTATAGTAGTTACTATCCTAGTGTCCAATTTTTATTTTACTTAGTTTACATGTTTTTAATAATTGTAAAGCGCTTAGAGTTTTAAGGTAAGCGCTATATAAAAATGCCTAAATAAATAAATAAA